GAGCAGCGGGTGATCTCGGGTCACGCGGCCTTGGTCAAGAGGGTCGTGGCTAGCTTTATGCAGATCGAAGAAGACCTCCTCGACTATGAGTGGAAAACCGGCACAGTCTGGAGTGACGATGGGATGTTAGGCAGCGCCTGCTTGCCGGTTCCCCCTGGAACAGACATGCGAAAGGTTCTTGTCCTTGAAGAGACGGAAAGGAAGCATTGGGTTGATTTGGATCTGCTTGGTCGGCTGGCTAAACACCCAGTCAAGACGGTGGCCAAGGCAGTCGAGGAATGCAAGCGCTGACTCTCGAACGCGAGCATGGTTTCTACCCAGAGGGTGTCTGGGTCGCCGGATGGCGATGTGCTGGACGCTCCATTCAACTCTTTATCCATGGGCCCTACCGGTCGAACTTCAGGCTTATGTACAGAGAGGGCTCAGGACACCTTTGAATTCAATGTTTTCGGATGGAACGTAGGAGGTTGCGACATTACAGACTTTGAGCAACACTTCCGTGATGGCTGCGGGAAATCCCTGCCGCCGGCTGCGATCCTTACCTTGCAGGAGATGCCGCGGAATAAAGTGGGTTGGTCCAAACTGCAGCAAGGCAGCTGGAGCGTGGTGAGCTGTCAGCCGGAGCACATGTGGAGAGGGACAGCGGTTGCGTTCAGAGACACAGAGTGGATTGTGGTAAAGAGAGTGCAGTCAGGCAAAGGGGTTTGGGTTCGTCTCAAGCACTTGCTGAACAGCACCACATTGTTGGTGGGCACGGCTCATTTTACTCCGGGGTGCACCTTTGCGCAGTATGAGGCTGAGGTAGACGACTTTCTTGCGGGCTTGCCCGCACACTCGGATGCTGTGGTTTTTCAATGTGATGCCGACGCTCCCTTTCACTGGGGGGTGTGTGACGGCACAGCTCAGGCGGTTGGACGGGATGTTAAGGCGAACGAGCTTCTGGGTCAGTTGCTGCGCAGAGGGCTTGATCCGATACCTCCTGGGACTACACAATATCGCACACCTACCAGCAGGCCGAGGCAACAAGGTCGTGCAGGGAATATCATTGATATCATGGTGTGCAAGAGGGGGTGGCACCCAGGCTGTTGACAGTCCATGTGGATTCATGTCACGTCTTGGGGACTGATCATGAGATTCTGGAGGGGTCCTTTAGGGTTCGGGCTGCGCGTGCTCATCGGCGACACTCTACCAAGCCTAGGGTTTGGACAGGCTCATTGATCAGTCGCAGCTTGAGTGGATGGCTAAGAAGTTTACGAAGCCAAAGCCGGGCAGTGCATACAAAGACCCGCCTCAGGTTAAACGGGCGGCTCTATCGGCACGTGTTTTGAAAACAGCATCGGCTTGGAGGGAGGTCAGGAAACTCAGGAAACAGGCTCTTAAGGAGTGGGAACTTCAAAGGGTGGCCAAAGCAACTCATGGTGATTGGTCGGTTTTCCGGGCTTGCAAGCCCCTCCCGGACACAGGCTGGGTAGAATCATTTGCAGAAGCACAGTCGGTGCGGTGCATGACCACTTGACTGAGGTCTACAAGGGCGAGGCTCCCAAACCTAACCTCGGACCTCCGGTGGGTGATGTTCAGGCCTTCACTGAAGATGAGTTGGATGTGGCCCTGAGCCAGATGCGATCAAACAAGTCGGTGGGTTGTGACGCCACTAGCAAGGAGCTTCTTGCGGGGGTGGTGGAGGTGGAAGGGGGCAAGCAGCTTCTTTTGGAGTACCTGAGCAGGGTTTTGGCCACGCAGGACATTCCGCCTGAGTGGAACACTCCGCTGATGATCCTCCTTCCCAAGAAGACTCACCCTGCCCCGCCGCGTGACTTGAGACCCATATCTATGAGCTCCGGGGTTACCAAACTTTTTTCCCGCCTTCTCCTGAACAGATCTCTTCGCAAGCTCACCTTTTCTACGCGCAGCCAATGCTCAGGCCCTGGCAGGCAGACTTCAGATTTTGTTTTCTCAATCTGGAGGGTACTGGAGTTGGAGCGTGAATGGCACCGAGGGCTGTGTGTGGCCAAACTCGATATCGCTAAGGCTTTCGATTCTGTGTGCAGGGAACGGGTGCTGCAGAAGATGCAAGATCGCCGTGGTGACACAGCTGAGATGAGGTGCTGGCGAGGACTGTTACAGCAAAACAACGGGACATCCTCTTCGCCCTGGTGGCCGAGATGTGCCTGAGCGAGGCGTCGGAGAGGTATGGTTGGGGGAAAGAGCAACCGGTGTTCGAGGGATTGGGGCTGCAGGACATGTTGTACATGGACGATTGTTTGATGTGGGGGAGAGGCGCAGAGGGAGTAGAGCGCCGAATTCGACAATTCATGGTACTTCTTTCTGAATTTGGGTTGTCGCTAAATGGAGCTAAATTGTCAACTACTGCTATCCCCATACTGGTCTGGTCCCAAGCGCATCCAGATCGCTGGCGCCCGAGTGGAGGCATTGGAATGCTTGGAGGTTATGGGTCTTCGCATGAGGGTGGGGATGAGTACGTCTGAGTTGCTGGGGCCCCTTCTGTCTGCTGCCACAAACAAGTTTTGTGCCAACAAACACCTCCTCCGCGCGCGTACTCCTCTCTTTGGTCGACTCAAACTCATGGAGCGTATCGCCGGTGGCTCGGCTCTTTGGTGTTTGGCTGCGATACCTCCTGACAAGAGCTCCCTGGGCCTCTTGAATTCTTGTCAGATGCTCTTAGTCACGTGGGCAATGAGATTGGGCAAGAGAGCTGATGGGGACACTTTCGAAAAAGGGCTTTCAGATCGGCCAGGGCCATGCTGCATGCTGCTCACCTTGAGCGTTGGGGGACTACTTGGTTGCGACGTTGGTGGGGGTACTCTGGTCATCGTGCTAGAAGCATGCTGAGGGACGCTCTGCCAGTCAACGCGCATCTTGACTCGTTCCGCACGCTGGAGTGGTGGCAACATGAGCGGCGTAAGAGGGATGGCTTACAACATACGCACCAGGACCACTTTCCCAAGCTCATGAATATGGAGCGTACAATGGACAGGGCGGTGGGTGGGCAGTGGAGGGTTACAGCGCAGAACAGACAGACATGGAAAACGTATGAACAGCGGTTTGTGGACCTTTTGGATATCCCGTGAGCGGGTGGTAGACAGACACAGTTAATGAATTGAGGTTGAGGGCTAGTGAGTGCTTTTATGCTGGACTGCTCTTTGATGGCTATGGTCGGACCAGAAGTTGCGGCTCCTTTACCCTTCGCTTTGGGCTAGTTAGCTTGCAGCTTTCATGTCGCCGATTTCCTTCTGGAAGTTGGTCTTTCTCTTTGGGCCTTGTGCCCAACACCCGAACCGAGGTATCCCCAGTCCTCTGGGGGCTTTTCAATGGTTGACCAAGGACGGAAGCTGGACCCACCACGACAACTTGACTGGGAAGATCGGCGGAATGGCACCGCCTGAAGTTGTGGTGGCGAAGTCGCCGATGGCATCCCCACCTCGTGCCCGGCTTGTTTCTGAACGCCAATGCGGTTTGACCGGCCCTTGAAGCCCCGCGATTACCCGATCCTGGAGTTCCCCACCGTGGTGGCACTGCGTACCTGCGATGGCTTGACAGTTGAAGAGGCAGTCGAGTCGGACCACCTGAGCCTCATGCAAGCACACGGGGCGGCAGGATCCTCGGGCCCTATGGAGGGAGATCGTGACGACTGTGCAAGCAGAGGCTCCTCCGAGTTGATGATGGTCTGCGAGCCAGGCGACCGGGGTCATTGAGGGAGGGCATCTTGGGACGGTCCGAAGGAGGAGTTGCTCTGAGTTCGACAATTTTTTTCAGTGTTAAAATGAAAGCAAAATGGGCCGGGGCGTCCGCGGACCTCCATGCTACACCGGAGCGCCTTCCGGTAGGGCTAGAGCATGACGATGAGTGGATGGCTCGGGTGGTTGAACACCTATGGGAATGGTTCTGCTCTGAGTGCTCAGACGAAGTTCCAGGTGAGGCCGAACTTGCGGAGCGCGCTGCGCGCCCGGCGCCTCTCTGCCTTCCACCTCCGGTTCCAATGGCAGGAGGGGCGGAGGGGCACATGATGGACCTCCTCATGATGAAGACGCACCTGACGCGGATGGGGAAGACACGGATGCGGTCAGTGCTATGCAGCGTGACATGTGGGTCCTCGATGAGCCAGACAGAACCTGGCAAAGGGATGCACGGGCTATTCGTGCTGATGTGGAAATGATGCTTCGCAACATGGTGCAAAATGGCGAGGAAGGTGAAGCATGCAACGCAGCGTGCCTGATCTACAGACACTGCCTACGCCTTGACTGTACCAGTACGGCCTCGCGGCAGTGGGTGGAGGCCGAAATCCGGCCAGTTCTGGATCGTTACGTTCTCAGGGTGAGCAGGCCACATGAGTACACACTGGATGAGGACATGCATGGTTGGACCAGACTCTGCAACAAATTGATGCCTGCGTCTGGAGGAAGCATCGCGGTGTACTTGAACACAGGGAGCGGCGGAAGATGAGGCGGACAGGGACACGGACGACAAATCCGGGTTTGGATATAGTGCACCCAGGGGGGGCGGTGCCGTGGAGGCGGAGCCCACCACCCAGCAAGCTCCACCGCTATGTGCTGATGACGAAATCCCGGAATGCAGTGGTAATGATGGCGAGTTTGTCCAAGGGCTCTGGAGGGACACAAGATGGCTTGCAGAGGATGAAGGTGGACGCAGGGTTACCTCGAGTACCAGAGTCCTTTCGTGGGAGAGCCAGCCCGCCTATCGACACCTCGTCCCTCAGCAACCTCGCCAAGTTGACCCTGCAGCACCAGCCCCCACTTCCCGTTCCGGAGGCTGTGGACCTCTGGAGACAGTTGTTCCAAATCTCCTCGGCACCTGACATGGGGGACATCGACCGTGCGGTCCAGAGCGGTGGATACGCCCTGCCGCGGGACCTCGCTGACAACATGATTGACACAATCAGGGACATGGACATGCACGACAGGTCGATCATGACAGTGGCCCTTATCGACCTGTTACGTCGCCTTATGTCGGAGTGTGCCCAGGTACTTGCACAGGCACATGATGACATGGAAGAGGTTGACGGTTGAAGTGGAAACTTCGGACCATGCCTCGTTCATGCAGACCCACCTGAATGCGGCCTCCTCTTGTTTGAGCCCGGCGAGGACAGAGAGTTCGACTACTCCGGTTGTGGCAAGGTTGCAACAAGAGTTATTCCAGCTCCAGCAGAAAGGGAATATGATCCACGCCTATGTGGCTGAGCTCCTGGTCAGACTGCGTCGCCAGCGAGTGCGGGAAGGCACGTGCGAAACACTGGATCTGCTGCAGTCCCTGTTGGTCACGGTTCAGAACGACCTGGAGGAGCAAAGCCTTCCTCAGCCGGTGCAGGAGGACGTCGACAAGTGGGTGTCCGCATGGTGGTCGGCCATCATGGAGATGGTGACTCCGCCTGCGAGTTTTTCGGCGAGCTCCAGCCTGGATATTGTGCAGGGCCAAGGCATGGAAGAGGGCGAGGAGTTGGCCTTGGCCGAGCGAGACTACAAGGAGGAACAAAAGAGGTGGGCTGAAGAACGGCAACGACAGCAAGACGCCCATGAGAGTGAAGAATCTTCGTGGGAGTCCGAGATGGCACGCATTACTGCCATGTATGACAATGCTGGTTCGCGCTCCAGTCGCGCCTGGGACGACTGGGCATTGTACGACGAAATGCACCGGACGACTCGACCCCGACAGCGATCGTTGGACGTGACACTGGCTACGGGTGGAGAGGGCACCGAGGTCGTGACAAAGGTGAGAGTGTCGATGCCTGGGGAGGTTCCTAATGTTGCCAGGGTGGTTGAGGCTCAGCTGGTGGAGCCCATCTCGTCTATGTCCTCGGCTCCGCCCACAGTTCTACTGTCTCGGGACTGCTCGCCGAACAAGCCTCCAGGAGATCCTGAAGACGGTGGGCGAGGTGCGATTCCACACTCCTTGCAGTTCCAAGGCTACCTGGAGCAGTCGAAGGCCAAGCACAAGGGCAAGATTTGATTCACGATATGGTATGAACCGATGAGCGAAACCTGTCATGGAGTTGCACAGCAGGGTGAGGGCAAGCAGGGCGAGGGAAAGCAGGGCGAGGGCAGAATGGGACAAGATGGGGCGTAAAGTGTACGGCGACGGGGCTCAGTACTACGTTTAGAAGACTTGATGACGATCCACCGGAAGGGTTACTGAGTCTGCCATGTCCGAAGCTTTTCTGAAGGGGTTCAATGAGACCCACATGCCTGCCCGAAAGGGTTGGGGACACGCTCAGGCAGTCATCCAAAAGGCCCTTAAAAAAAAAAAACCTCTAAGCCCCTAAACCCCAAACTCTCAACCCCCAGTATAAACCCTGAACCCGTAACCCCTAAACCCTAAACCCCTAAACCTCCTAAACTCTACAGCCAGAGGAGCAGAGGGCTGTTTCCGGAGCTGCGCGCTCCCAAAGGTCTTGGCCCGGAGAGCCAGCGGCTTTCCCTTTTAGAGGAGCTAGAGGGCCTTTCGGGAGTTCTGGGATTCCTTTGCTGAGTTTAGACTTTTAGCGGCTTTCCTATTTTAAAGGAATTGACTATAGGGGATTCTCGGGGGTTCCTTTTTTTAAGGGATGAGGGTTTGTAAGGTTTCACGGCCTTCCTTTTAAAGGTTTCTGGGACGTTAAAGGTTCCTTCGGTTGATGATATAAATCCTTAGCATTACCTTAAGGACCCTACACTATGGGAATTATGGTATATTCCTTATTATGGGTAATTCAGGATTTATATCATCAACCGTTTGTAAGGAGCTTGGGGGTATTAAGGGTTCCTTCCCAAGGAGCTTTAGGGCTTAGAGACGGTTGGAGGGTTATTTTGGTTCCCTTTACAAGGAGCTAAGGTTTTTGGGGGCTCATGGTTAAAGGGACTATAGGTTTTTAAGGGTTCCTTGTAAAGGAGCTCGGGGTTGTAGGGGTTCCTGTTAAAGGAACTTATAAGGTTGAGAGTTCAGGTTTTGAGGGCTTTGGAATTTTAAGGATATAGCTTTCAAGCGTTTTAAATTTAGGGTTTAGGGCTTACCCTAGACCCTAAACCCTAAATTCTACACTCTATTGGGGGTGTAAGGGGTTGAGAGGTTTAGGGGTTAGGGTGTCGGTCGGGCTCGGGGGGTTTGTAAGGGTCGTTTTGAAGGGCGTCATTGGGCGATTGGAAGGGTTGATGGAGGGTGGGTTGTATTGTTGTTGTGAGGTTTGCTAGGGCTTTAGCTGGTTGGTTTCAGAGGCTTGTCGGGGTGTAAACTGTTGCCAGAGAGCTTTGGAGTCTAAACTTTAGAGATTTATAAGCCCAAAGCGTCCTAGGTCCAAGGTACTGTTATGGGGAATGCTTTCCGAAATGATCATAATAGTTCTTATTAATATAGAAACCCTGCATTCTACTTGGACCCTTTTGGGAAGGGGAGGGGGCTTGTTGGGATCTAGAAGGTTCAGGGGATCTTCAGGACATAGCGGTTTAGTGTGTAGAGAGCTTAGAAGTATGCAGCAGTCATCGGATACTGGCATTTGTCTGTGGGTTCACGGCTTCGGGATCTTCGGGTTAAGGTGAGTTAGGGGTTCTTATTATTCTGCTCTTGGCTTCGATTTTGGGCTTGGTGGTTCAGGGTTAAGAGTCTCGCTGGAGCGCTCACCTACAGATGGGCTTCAGGGTTTTATGGACTTTTGGATGCATGTTATTTTGGGAAGAGGGCTTGGACGGCAGATTTGGGTTCCTTTCTTGCCCCAAAAGCCCAAACCCCCAACCTAAACCCTAAACCCTAGACCCTAAATCCTAAACCCCAAACCCCTCTGACTCTGCGAGTTGGAAAAGAGGCGCTCAAAAAAAAAAGAACCCCAAACCCCAAGCCCTACACCCCAAAAACTTGCCTTCTTCCAGCAACTGGAAATATGGAGCGCTAAGGATGGTCCTTCAGATACAGGCACAGCTGAAGGAGCGGAGGGTCTGCATAGTACAGGGCCGGGGTTTTGAGGGGTCAAAGTTTTAGGGTTTGGGGCTTAGGGTTTAGGGTTTAGGGTCAAAGTTTTAGAGTTTGGGGCAGGCATTGAAAGGGGCTGGCTGTGGCGAATTTTCGCGCACAGGGGGGTTCTGGATGAAATAGACACGCCATAGCCAGTTCGCGCCCGGCACGCAGGTGCCCTACACAGCGAACCTTGAGCCACAGATCCTGGACCGCGACTAACGAAAGATCCTAGTCCTATTCATGAACCCCCGAAACCGCGAAGATCCTTGAACAAGCTCAAGCCTGACATTGACTCCAATAAAGCCCAACCCGAAAATGCCTACTTCCCAAGCCTAGAAGCCTTCCGAAGTCTGAGTCCCCCAAACTCCTGTAGCACTCCATGGCAACTCCGAAGACTGCCAGGACAAAATCTCTAGAAGACCCCTGAACCCTAAACTCTGAATCCCCTGCTACGGTCGATGATATATATCCTGCCTTACCCATAACAAGGAATATACTACACTTCCCATAGTTTAGGGTCCTTACAAGGTAATGCAGGATTTATATCATCAACAGAAGTAAATCCTAATCCCTAAACCCTAAACCCCTAAACCCCAAACCCCAAAAACTGAACCCTAAACTCTAAACCCTAAAAACTAAACCCCCTACTAACACCTCCAAGCTTTAAAGCGTCGGGCCTTTTGTCAGGAGCCATCTGTGCAAGCAATGATCCCAACCATAGGGCCGGCCGACTTCTTGCGCTGCGGGCATGTGCTTGCTTTAAGGGTTTAGGATTTAGTAAGGTTATTAGGGTGTTTGCTTTTAGCGTTTTTAGGGTCTTCGGGGTTTAGTAAGGGCTTCAGGGTTTAATTAGGATTTAGTAAGGGTAGAAGGGTTTAGGGTTTCACGGTGTAGGGTTTAGGGTTTAGTAAGGGAGGGTCTTCGGGTTTAGGGTTTTAGTAAGGGTCTTGGGGTTTATAGGGTTTAAGGTTTAGTAAGGCTTTTGGGGTTTAGGGTCGGAGTTGAGGGGATTTAGGGTTTTGGGCCTGTTGAGGCAGTTCAGGGGCTTTAGGGTTTATAGGGCTTGGGGTGTGCGGGACCAGTCTGGCCTGCCATGAACAGACTGTGGCTGCAATCAATCGCTTAGGGCTTCTATAGGGGTTTAGGGTTCAGGGTTTAAGATCTAGCAAGGGTCTTCGGGTTTAGGGTTTAAGGTTTAGTAAGAGTCTTAGGGTTTATAGGGTTTAAGGTTTAGTAAGGGATTTAGGGGTTTAGGGTTTCAGGGCTCAGGGTTTAGGCGTCACGGGGCTAGGTTGTAGGTTTTGCAGCTCAGGGCCTCGGCTCTGGAGTTAGCAGGGCCTGGGATTTGGCCTTGTTACTCAGTAGCACAAGTCTTCCATATCATATGGAATTGAGGGCTCTCTTCTTGGGCTGACAGCCCGTGGCAGCTATGAGCCCGGCTTAAAAATTAGTTCGATCGAAATAAATAAATAAATGAATAAATAAGTATATATATATTCTCTAATAAAACGATGTCGTGCTGGTCTCCTCCGTTTTTTGGTGCGCGCCCCTGGCCCCTGTAACCTCGTCCTTTGCCGCGTTTCCTTTTGAAAGCCTCTTGCGTGCAACTTCGGAAATTTTAGTACCGGGAGCACTTCTTTCCCGGTATTAAAATTTCCGAGTTTTGGTAGTTTTAGGAAATCTCGCGGTATCAAAATGTGGCAAATTTTGGTAGCTTGAGGGTAACAAGCTCCCGGTAATAAAATTTTCGAAATTTTCGGTTGGCATGCTCGCGGTCATAAAATTTCCGAATGGCGAAACAACAGATCTTTAATCTTCCAGTCACCCGCACATGCTGGCACGGTGATTTGGCTGGCATGTTACTGTAGAGTTCAAGGTTTGAGTTGCGAACTAGGCACTGTTTCTATCAAGGAGAAATTGCATAAAGCATCGGTTGAGCCGAAACGTGCGAGATGCTGCGCCCGGAAGTCTGCTTCAGATCCTCATTTATTTGCACCCCAAACCACAAACGCTAAACCCTACACCCTAAACCCTAAACTTTGCCAGGTATCCGAAGCCCAGCCCGCCGCAGGCTCGTCTTGCATCGTTGAGCTGGCGGTCCGGGCGGGCGCAAAAAACCTTCAACCCTGAACCGATACATCTGTAGGTCGGGTAGAGCCATTCGCCTGAACAGCCTACCTTTTTTTTCAGGCCTCGTCGCAGGAAATCATAATAAGGCACCCCAGAAAGGGGTGCCGGTCATTTGGCCCCGCAGCCCCTGAACCCGAAACTCTAAGCCATGACCTGTAAACTAGACTCACTCTACATAATGTAAAGGGCCGAGGAACCGCAATCGGGTTTAGGGTTTAGGGCAATTTAGGGTTTATGGGCTAAATCAGGCAGCTTAGTGCTGTTTGAGTCATTCCCTACCAGCAGCCACCCACTGGCCCACTGGGCTGTAGCACTGCAGCCCGTTTGGCTTCTTTGAAGGGCTCCTTTAAGGGGCTTCCTTCAAGGGTAAGGGTTCATTTAAGGGCTATGGGTTCCTTGTAGGGCTTTCTTTACGGGTTCCTTGATGGGTTGGGGGTTTATGGGGTCCTTAACGGGAAAATCGCAACATCGTACAGCAGCCGTCGTACTCAGGCGACAATTGCTCCTGTTGAGAAACCAAACCTCTCTCTCTCTCTCTCTCTCCTCTCTATATATACATATACACACACATACGTATGCACACCTCTACTCCTTGGTTTCCTGAGGTAAATGAATGAACACAAAACATATATATATAATATATATATATATACATGTATATCAGTATACATGCGTATATGTGCATATGTATACGTGTGCATGTGTATATGTCTGTGTGTTTCTGTGTGTATATATACACATGTATATATATATATGTATACATACACATACACATACACATATACATATACATATACATATACATATACATATACATATACATATACATATACATATGTATGTCTGTATGTTATGTTATGTTTTATGTTATGTTATGTTATGTTATGTTATGCTAT